CCGTACACCTAGATGTATGGTAGTTCCATAAAAATAATTGTTTTCAATGGTATACTGAATATCGTGTAGGAGTCCATTTAACTACAGTATTATTCTTATGTTTTTTTCTTTTATAAATATGTTTCTTCTCGTTAGATATCAATATTTACGATGTAATAGTTCTTTTTAAAAGAGCCGACCGTCTCTCACCTACTGACTCTATTCCGCAATCGACAATCGAATTTCCAGCATCGCGATACCGGCGCAGCTTGTAATATGTCTCGTTTTTCTAGGACAATCGCAGTCTATTCGCGCTTCGTTCGGCATCGGATTCGATTCTATTTGCGCGACGATTAAGATTTTTTCGTTCGGAGAGGTACTTCGGCCGATAGCAGGCGCACCGGCAAAACTGAATACGCCGGAGTTATTGGGAAATCGATACCATCCTCGATACCAGATATCGTATGACTCATTCCTCTCCGTATTTACCGTGACCGGTATCTTTGTAGTCGAAACGTAACTGCTCTCTTTTCTCGTTTTCGAAAACGGCGAAACATTGGTCGCTTGTTCCCGTAGCCGCCCGAACGACGATGCACAATGGTGCTCGACGAAAAGCTCGCCAGAATTCATAGTCTCGTGGGATTTCCATAAAAATGATCTCTATATTCCTGATATTACTGAATTCAGATATTTTATGGATAATGCAAAATTTCATTATACGCTTTATGATTTATTACCATATCTTATTATATGGTACTCAACATTTCCTTCCAAAAACTTGACACAACAGCGTTTTCAATTTCCCCCTGCCAGATCAAGTAAATATCCCACTGTCCAGCGGGCAAACAATCATTCCCGCGGCGAACCCCCTGGAAATTGTATACCTAAATATTGACGGACACGAAAGTTGGTCAAAGTTGAGCGTAGAAATAATGAGGTTTGCCGTGGACGCGATGTAGGTTAAAGCAGTTTCGCGGCCAGTGTACACAGCTGTTTACGGGGGCGTGCAGGTCGTTTAATTATCACCGATCGATGGCTGCGTTGTCATCGATCCCAGCCGAGGCGTTCGCTCGCGCGTCATCGATCGCCGATTCTCCGGGCAACGGACACGTGTCACGGTGGAGAAAGAACACGATCCGCGGATTGAATCGCCGCGGGATTAAGCTCGATCCACAGTGAAACACGTTTCACGAATTTCGCGGTCGAATTGCGCTTTTTACGCGCGTCGCGGAAACCCGCCGGTTCCATTGTCCCTTTTTTTCCGCGGATTTGTTTCAGCGCGGCGTCGCTCCGCGCGAAACAGAGAGTACGCCGCGCTCGTTTGCCTTCGTTCTTTTTCGCGCGCGCGCCTTGCGGAATATAAAATCGCGTCGCCGCCTGCCGAATATTAATTCGCGACATTGAGATTCAGAGAGAAATGCGCGATGTTTATTCGATTGTACCGCGAAGAGAGCGATGTACAAATTGGCCGGCGATCCTAATGCGCGTTAACGTCCCGCCGTTCCTTTTTTGGTCGCGTTCGCGGGACAAAAATCCGAAGCCGTCGTCCGTGGGCGAAGTCGCGGGCGAGGTATCGGGAAAATCGGCGACGGGAATATTAAATTCGATGGAGAACGCCCCCGGCCGCGGAGCCTCTAGGAGGCCGGTAGTCCTTTTAGCGCTTTTAAAGGAGCTTCTTCAACATTTATAAAATCCAATTCTACGGAACTTGTCGCGAGAAAGTTCCCCCGCCGGAATTAGTTAATTCCTTAAGGTATTCCGGAGTTTCATTAATTTCTCTTTTTATGGCTCGGAAAAGAGTTGGCGCGTCGGGTAAAACAGAGACACCGGGGAAAGAAGAAAACCGGGGGAAGAGAGGCGAGCGGAATCCGCTCGCAATCCCGAACAGATTTTCCGTTCCCGCGTCCGACGAGGTAAGACCGCGCGTTTACCGAGCAATTTAAGTGATCTCCCGTCGCCGTTTTACGCTTTGTGCACCGTGCACCGTACGAACGGACTGTGACGGGTGCGCGCATGTTCCCTGATAATAACTAATAAATTCTGCAATTTAGTATAGTGGGACGTCCATTACCTCTCTCTGCACCCTCATTCTGCGTGCACGTGTACAAAGTGTCGTCGTAACCGTCGCATAAACTTCGACGCATCAAAGCAGTGGAAAACGTGTCTCTTTCAGAAGGGAAATCGCACCGTTAACACGGCAATTTTCTTGCCCCTTGAAACGTAATTGAATGGCCGACGAACGCGCGCTCGCCCCCGGCCGATTCGTCTCTGCGATCGCGGTGAATTAAAGTTCCACGCCCTGACTCTTCCCGTCTTTCTCCGCTGTTTCGTTACGACTGCGGAATATTCCCGCGTGAACGATCGAATTGAAACTCGGATTCCAGCGTGCGGGTAATAACGACGTTTAATGCCTTTAAATAATTCTTCGCCGAATAGCGTGCGACGAGACGCTTGCGACGAAACAGAAAGGGCTCGGGAGACGATGAAGTTGGTATAAATTAAATGTACAATAGAGTGCGACGGCTGTTGGGGACGAGGTAGGGAAGGGGGACATAAATTAACCCCTTAAGAGCTTCTGTATTCTAGGCAGGTAGCTAGAATCCTACGTATCTCGTTTAGGCGAGAAGTCAAATGTTCGACGAAGATAGAGGAGGCAAACAGTGAAAGCTCATGTGCGAGAGAAGAAAAATGCGCTTACGGACTTAGTCCTTTTCAATCCAGAGATGAGATACCCTGTTATAATGTTAAGCTTCGATACGTGAAATCCTGAGATAAAATAGTTTTGTTTCTTAATTTACGTATACTTTCCGATTAATTTCAAAGAATACCGTCAGCGTCTCGTCGAAACATTTTGAATATTTCTAGGGAAAAACTTTCGCATGCAAAAATTTAACGGCGAAACGCTTCGTTGCGATGCAAATCTAGCGTCCCGCTCTTCTCGGGTTTTCCCACGTGACTCGGGCCAAAGTTGATTACTTCGGCGACACAGTTGCGGCACGGTCGCGTTCGCGAGGCCTCGCTACGGATATGAAATTATAGTCGTGACGTAATTAGTACGAACTCGTAGAACCGTGTCCCGTGAAAATGATGCCCCGGTAAGCGAATTCCCATGATTTATGCGGATCGAGCCGAGTGGCAGCGTGATTGCGTCGGGTATAATTAGTTATGGTTAGCAACCGTGGTCTCGCCGCGAGTGCGCAAACCGGCTGTCACGCCCACGTATCCCCCGCGAAACGAAGAAATCTCTGTACTCCAGACTTTTTTCTTACGAAACTTCGAGGCACGAACATTGCCAAACTCACGGTAGGGGAGACCGAGGGAAATGGGGTCGAAATAACAATCCACTCCACCTTTGTTGTATCGCAAATCACGTTTCCCGTCTCTCATTTGCAAAGGAAAAGTTCATACGTTCCTTTCCACTTTTTATTGTTGACCATCCGACTGTCGATCTCAACGGCGTTCCCACGAAAAACAATATTAAACCTTATTAATTCCTTTAAATTCAGGATTGCGCTTTGGTTTCTCCATATAAACGAAAAGCTTTTGTCGCCTGGAATTGAATGACAATTTCATATTCACGAGCAAATTAAAACAGGACTAATACTAGATTCGAAGTTTCCGAGTAATACTGTTTACCAAGAAAATTTGACAGTTAAGAGGTTAACGTCCGAGGATTTTTACTTCTTCGCTATCGCACAGGACAAGATCCGATTCGCTTCGGTCCACTCTACGTCGTAGATTCGTCGCTGACCGATCGTCGAGTGAAGCTCGTCATCCAGGAGAGTTGATTCCCCGTGTCGATACGTTTTCGAAACCGAGAATCTATTTCCGAGCCCGCAGCGGACCTGCATTTCGCTCCGAAATCGCCGCCAAGAATAGCCAATTTATTGTCGGTCGTTCAAAGTTTCCCGATCCCGCCGTCCCTCATTCTCCGGGCACTTCTCATCGATTTCGTGTCTCGTCAGTGATTTCTTTCTCCTTTTTCCGCTCCTTCGTCGTCGGCGAAGTAGTCGCATGGTTTTGCCAAGAACCGTAAACTCGAGCGACGTTCCAGAAACGGGGAAGAAAAAAGGAACGGTTCGGGAAAAATGGATTCCTCCCCTTACCGGTAATCGAGTGAAATCGACGGCTTATCAGTTTTAGCGATTCTCCCGCGCCATCGCGCTCCGCTCCGTCCCGATTTAATTTCTGTCGCGGGTTCCGGATGATTAAATTAGTCGAGAGCGTCGAAGGAGCAGCGACTTTCGTCGCAGAAGCAGCTCACTGTAGCGGTGTGATTCCGCGAAACGACTTGCGCAATAATTTACACGACTCGCTCGTCCGTCCGTCCGTTGATTCGAGATCGATCTCCAGCGGAAATCTGTCCGCGGCTGGAACAAAATCTCCGGCGTGATTCAGGGATAAAGTCGTTCGCGGACGAAATATTCGCCCGTTTATAAAAAAAATTTTTCCGTGATTACTCTGGGAAATAATTTTTTAACCTTGAACAGAAGGCAAATTTTCTAGTCTTCATTAATAATTCAAAATAAGAAGATGAGGAAATTTAACGTTTTTCGCAGTGATCATAGCGTTGGAAGTCAGAAGATAATTTATTAACAACCTTTCGACCGTAATGTTAAAACCGAGAATTAAGCAGTGGAATTCAGCTTGGCTTATAAAAATTGAATATGAGGGAACGACCAGGCATAAATATCAGATAATCGAAAGATATTCATTGCTAATGTACTCAAAGGTGACATCAATGATGGCTCTAATTGTTCGATCAGGGTAAATTAAAAGCTGTCGATTCAAATCAATTTTCTCCCTCCAGTTCCCTCGAAGGAAGACATATTTTCTTTGTTTCATTGAAAAATGATTTTTCCAAGCTACAAAGACGCGTGTATTAGTTAAATCCCGGTCCAGAAGTGGCACGGAACTTGGCCGCGTGCTTGCACGCACCGGCGCGCACGGATCGGTCCATAGATCGCGCTAAGAATTACACGAGCGTCGATTGAAATTGACATCCATTTGTCAAGGCCTGTTTAGTCTGCGGCCGTCGCTCGCGAGGGTTGCGCTTTGTTGCTGAAAAGCTGGCTAGTTGTCCCGCGAACGCGCTGCAGTCAGTTTCTTGCTTCGACAACGTTTTTCCGTCAATAAATCGAAAAGAAACTTCGATAAATTTGCCGTGTTACGTTTACTCGATCGTGTCTACGAAGTGTCGAATCCAACGAAAATGCCGCAATAATATTCAACGAAAACGCGAATATTCGAAGCTACACCGTGTCCCGTGTCGCGCACAGTTCCATAATGAACGTTGACGTTGCCGGCTCGTTGCGCGATAAAAAATGTCCGGCAATGGGGCGGTTGCACGTTCGCGAAACGTGAAATCAACGTTTCGCGTGAGGCGGCCCCGATAATCAGATTATACGGCGATTTCAACGGAAGGGAACGCGGCTTTAAAACACGATTACTCGGCCGTGCTCTCGCGATTAGATTATTTATCGCGACGCCGGCGAAGCAGCGAGAGAGCTAGAAAAGTATCGGTGGGAAGTGTCTCTGGCGTCGTTAGCATGGCAAAGGTGAAGAACCTTGATAAATGTTCTCTGTAAATAGATCGACTATACTGCGGATATTTGTGTAAATTCATAAGCACCGATCGATGGGAAGAGGAACTAGGAAATGCGCTACGGCAGACACCATTACGACGTGCCATTTCAAGTTTAAACATCGCCATTCATTCAGTGCTACATTTTCTACGTTTACAAAGGTCCACTGACGACACCCCAATTCAGTTTCATTTAACAATAGCTTCATTCTCTACAATCCTCTTTTTCTTGTATGCTCACTTTTCTACTGCATGTAAAAAATAATAGTAATTATTCTCATTTCATATTTTCTCCTTATATATCCACAACTGCTTGTCTACTGTATATAAATAATCATTACTCATGCTTCGATATCAACCCTTTTCCGCATTTAATACAGACGCGTGATCAAACATCTCGATGTTTCATCCTCCAGCGTCACGAGGGTGGTCAGGAGGCTTCGACAGAAGTCTCGAAAACGAGTCCTCGAAGACACCCTCGCGCGCCTTTCGCCAGGAATGGGAGCGAAAGAAACGTATCATTGACATCCCCTTTTTGATACCGGTTCCCAGCGTTCTCGTTGGCCGCGCTTTGACGGCGCGGCGATCAAAGGGGTCGTTTCACGGACGCGCCGCGCTCTCAAAGAACGACGATGAACGTCCTTTTTGGCGTGCATTACTCGCGCGGTATGCAGCCGCGCTCGCTTTTGTCGATTCACAATGCGTGCGGCCGGTGCGTGCTCGCTCGGAAGAGAGTGCCGGTGCAACGGGAGAGCCCGATGGAACGCAAATGTCGAGAAATCGACCTCCCGCGGCCGCGAGTCGCGCGGAGCGGTGAACGCGACCCTTCGGCTACATTTCCTTCCATTATTTCTGAAACTTCGGGGGGAGATCCGACTCGACCGTCGCGCCGTGCAATTACTTTCTCCATCTGTTCCTGACAAGTCGCAATTCCGGAGGGGAAAAATATTTTCGACGGTCACACTGATTCGAGGGACAAGGGGAACGTCGGGTCGGTCGTTTTCCCTTAAAAACAGCGTGTATTTACCTGTTAAGGCGTGACTCGTCGATCAGCGCTGGCGCTATGAAAGGAAAGTAAAAAAGATCTGGTCCGGTTCGTATCGTAACAAGACCGTCGCGACAATTTTCAACGTTTCACGTTTCTGAGGACGAATGTCGTTGTTTTGGAGACTTTAAATCAAGTTATCAACGTATAATTGAATTCTTTAAATAACAAACGAGCGATACGTAGTTCTATCTTTCTTCAGTATTTGGAAGTTTCATGTATAATTAATACAGTATTGTTTAATTACTTGCGTTACTGAGTATCAGTATTCCACATGAATCTTCTTACTGTAATCTTTTCCAAGTAACTCGTAAACTCGTCACCGGCAATCACCGTAGCAGTCAACGCATGAATCGTGTTTTCACGATGAATGTTCTTATTCGAATCGAATAAGAAACTAAAGAGTATCGGTAGAATAAACGTAGAATAGACCGATCAGTTAACTGGATCCTTTTGGATAACAAGTTAAAAGAAACTAGGGTAGTTCTTGTAACTGGTAGAAAAATATCGAGTCAGGGTAGTTCGATAAGCCAAGGGAGAGGATTCGTTTGAACTAAGGGCGGCGCGGCACTTAGCTGTTAACAAATTCAGGAACGACTTCTGACTTCGCCATTGGCTCGGCGAAAGTTCGAAATGTGCGGGGACTTTGTCGCGTCGCGTCGCGGTTCCTCCCCGATGAGCGTTTCCCCTGGAGTGGCCGAGGAAATGAAAACATTCGCTCGACTTCTTCGAAAGTTTGGAGGCTTTCAAGTCCTTTCGGCGCGGACGAGAAGTCTTTCCGTGATCGATGTTCGAAGAAGGAGGCAGCCAGGGCCACGCGATAATCGAATTCTCTTCTCTGCGTAGTGGGACAGTTCGGAATCCGAGTGCTCGGAGGCGGAGGACTCAAATGAGTTAGGGGCCATCGTCAGCCCCGAGATCTGCGCGATGGACTCTGTGGACAGTGCCAGCAAGCGGCAAGCTACTCGTGTCTTCAAGAAGTCGAACCTGAATGGGAAGATCACGGTGTACCTCGGCAAGCGGGACTTCGTCGATCACATAACCCACGTCGATCCAATCGGTAAGGAACACATCCCTTATTAACCATCTATGGTACATGCGAATTTTCGTGAGGAAATATTCATGCGAGACGTACTTCTGCTTATGGTACTTAATCTTGTAGCAACTTCGCGGAGAGAACTATTATAAAGAAACTTATAAAGGTACTATAGGTTCGATTGAATTTGTGACAAAATTATTTTGGTCGTGACACATCGTTAATTCTTTTAATTTAATTAATCTTTAATAATACGATTATACTCAAAGTATTAGGCAAATTAGTGGCTTAGCAATCGAGTTGCATCAAGTCAATCTGAGGAAATACAATGAAATTCAAGTGGCTACGAAGTTTCCTTCGTTTCAAACTTCGATGGTAAGTAACTATAGTCACATTTAATAACTGGAGGTTCAACAGACGCGACATTTAATAATTTGACTGACGAAAATCGAAATGTCTCGACACCGTTCATCTCGCTCGAATATTTGACAAATTTGTCGCGGTCACTCCGGAATATTTAGTTAAAGTTTCCAGCGTAGACGCCTGCAGGAAGTGGGTCAGTCCTGTAATAAAACAGCAGGCCAGCCGGGTCATACGCTGACATTTTCCAGACTCGGTGAAAGTCCTGGAAAATTTAACTCACCCTTGATGCAGTGGTAGCGCTATACTGTTCCATACCGGAGGAAACAGTGCTCACCCAGAACTTTACCATTCTTAGTTCCGAAACGCAGTCTTAGTACTTGATTCATAGTTAAAATCTATTGTACCATTGTCTCGAGTTTTTATTTATGCGGGCAGAGTAGTTTCGTGGGATACAACTTGAACCTCCCACTATTCGCGATGGTAAAAATAACGGAACGAATTCATGCGTCGTAGGAAGTATCAATCTTCTTAGTCATCTTTTATTGCAGTGTTCGCTGGTCCATTATGTCAAACTTGCCAATGCAGCGTCTTTGCCGCGTATGCGAATCGATTATTCGAGTGCAGAGAGGATTTAAATTACATTCTCAAGTTACTCGATAATTCCGTAAAAAAAACTTCGCCCTAAAGTGGGCATTTAATAATACAGGTAAATTATCGATTCTCCGGCACTTGTACCGTATGCACTCCAGAAGCAGTGGAGCGAGCAAAGGAGGCGGTGGTATAGAATCCGACACTTATCGTGGATGATTTTGTCATCAGACTGAATGAATGAATACGTTGTAATGGTGGCTACTTGAAAGACACGTTTATTAAATAAAATCGCTACAATAATCTACGTATAGAAAGCTCTATACGATAAGAATATCTTTTTCCATTCTATTCCATTATGTTGCTAAGTAAACTTGACGAATTATCATAATTACGTAACCGCACTGTACTTCGGTAAAACGTAACGTTGTAAGTGGAACGATGATTATAGAAATCTAAATTAATATTTAACTTGTTCTTCGCAAAGCGATTAACCCCATTTTTCAAATGTCTTTTTTAACGTTAAGACACTTAATTGGTCCTTTGTGTAGAGAATTTCACGGAATGTCTTTACCTTTTATTTTGAGCAGTTAATCACTTTGGCAAATGAATAGCTCATTTATCGGAACGACAAAAATCGTCCCGAGCAATTGCATTACGTAACGAGACGTTTCGCCGTGGTCGGCCGGGGCAGAGTTAATCTTGAATACGGGCTAGGCCATTGAGACGATTCATTCAGACGCGTCCACTTGACACCCAAGGAATCAATGGTCGCCTCGAAAGACTTCTTCCCCCCCGTCGTTCCGATTGGGAAATTCGATTTACGGGACGACGGGTTGCCGTTTAATCCGGAGCTGGTTAGCAGCCACTTAACACTAAAACTATCGACCGGTCAAGCTCACTGGCTTGTATTTCCTTATACAAGTCAGTAATGCTACTTATTTACTTTAGAACGCAGCTTAATTATAATCCTACCGTTTATTTCTCAGCAAAATATTTCTATCTTTCTGAGTATTTTTAAAAGAAAACCATGAGTGGGTCATTTTGAATCATCTGATAATTCACTAATGCTACTTATTTACTTTAGAACGCATCTTCATTATAATCCTAGCGTTAATTTCTTAACGAACTACTTTTATCTTCCTGAGTATAAAGGTAGAAACCATGAGTGGGTCATTTTGAATCATCTGATAATTCACTAATGCTACTTATTTACTTTAGAACGCATCTTAATTATAATTCTAGCGTTAATTTCTCAGTGAAATATTTCTATCTTTCTGAATATTTGTAAAAGAAAGAACCAAGAGTGGGTCATTTTGAATCGTCTGATAATTCTAGTCCAAATAATTTCTTAGCGAACTATTTTTATCTTCCCGAGTATAAAGGTAGAAACCATGAATGGGTGATTTCGAGCCATCTAGTATCTCTAGCGTTAAATTCCCTCTTCTCACCGATCGCTGTTCAATCGTTACAGACGGGATCGTGCTGATTGACCCGGACTACGTGAAGGATCGCAAGGTCTTCGGCCATGTTCTGGCCGTGTTCAAATATGGCAGGGAGGACCTGGACGTTCTCGGCCTGTCGTTCCGCAAAGACCTCTACCTCGCCGCCGATCAAATCTACCCGGTGGGGCCCGGCTCGCAGCAGAGGGAGTTGACACGGTTGCAAGAGAGGCTGATCAAAAAGCTCGGCAGCAACGCGTACCCGTTCTACTTCGAGCTGCCACCCCATTGTCCCGCGTCGGTCACGCTGCAGCCCGCCCCCGGTGACACCGGCAAACCATGCGGCGTCGACTACGAATTCAAAGCGTTCGTAGGTGAGACGCAGGACGAGAAACCGCAGAAACGGTACGAGAGCCTCGATTATCGCGGTATCGTCGATTTCACACTTTCTCGAGCCAGCGAGCAGCGTCGAGCCACGGGGAATTCTTTGGACTTGAAATACAGTGGTGCTCGCTAACAAGAGAAGCCTTGCCTCCCGCGGCTTTCAATGGAATTTCGTAAGAGTTTTCCGAGGAGAATACGTCTAAAGTCGTGAAAGATTCGAGGCTTCTCTTGTTAGACCCGAGGCTGTATACTCCGAGTGCTTTGGAGGTCGGATAGCGAAGTTTCTTTGATATTCTAGTGATCGATTGAACATTACCCAACTAGTAATTGGATACTATTGTACATAGCGAGATAAGATTATTTATCATTTCATTGAAGTGTACGCGAGATAACTGCGACAAAAGCCAACGAAACTATCCCCTAACTCTGTACAAGTGTCCTAATTTGTAACTTGGAAGCTCGTAGCTTCCCCTCTGAATGAGCGTGAAAATGCCCCAGCCCGATCGCAGTCAGAACGGTCTCGGCACAGTTTCACGGTCCCGGTCGTCGGTTGCAGAGATTTCGTCAGGCTGGCGATACGAAAGATCATGTACGCGCCCTCGAAGCAAGGCGAGCAGCCTTCCGTCGAGGTTAGCAAAGAGTTCGTGATGTCGCCGAGCAAGTTGTACCTGGAGGCGTCCCTCGACAAGGAGCTGTACCATCACGGCGAGAACATCGCCGTGAACGTGCACATAGCGAACAATAGCAACCGGACTGTGAAAAAGATCAAAGTGTCCGTGAGGCAGTTCGCGGACATATGTCTGTTCTCCACGGCGCAGTACAAGTGCACGGTCGCCGAGGCGGAGAGCGAGTGAGTATCATTCAAGTCATCATTCTTTCAGAACCCGCGGTCGACAATGGGAAGCGCGGGCCGTCGCGGACGCTCGCCGGCGAACGGATCCATACGCGACCCGTGTTCACTCGCGGCCAACTGGTCACATTGAAATCGTCGGTGCAGCTTTCGTTCGATACTTTTTCGACCAATCAGAATCCGTTGCAGCGAAGGTTTAACGCTAGGTTTACGGAACGCGTCGGTTGAACGTATCTCGAATTTTGTGAACTACATTTTTATATATATATACGTATCCTAGTTTCCAAGATCTAAAGGAATGAGCATTGACTATTCTAGGATCAGTTGAATAAACAGTACAATAAGTGTCCGTAAACTTAGCGTTACAGCTAGTTTTAGATTTCTTTTGTTACAATTATTGGGAAGATTCTTTTCCGAGGAATGATCGAAAAATGGATTCAGTGATACACGAGCTGAATTACAAATCATTTGAAGTCTCGATAGATGTACTCTGAGTTTTTGTAAAAATATTGAAACCAACCAATTCGACTGTCCGATAGTTCTAGCGTTAAAGCTAGGTGCCCATTTCACAGGAAAACTATCACGAGTTTCTCCCTGGTATTGCGTTGAGAGCGACTATCCGAGAGCATCGTCAGAACTCATCATCACTCTCAAGGCAATATCCATTTGCGAGAAATGCTCTCAACAGCAACTTGCGATCATTTTACTGTCAAATGGACACGTACTTTAGCTCGCAATTTCAACTCTCTACACTCGAAAGTTTTTCACTGGAAATATTCAACGTTTTCCAACAGAATCTAGACCACGTTACTTGAAACTAACGAGGAAATAAACGTAAATTAAGAAACGTATCTATTTCAATATTTCACGTATCGATAAATTATACAATACCAATACCTCGTGCACAACACTTTATAATTTTGCTCTATCAAATCGAACAGTGACTGAGAGCTTCTCGAGTGCAAAGGGTTAACCAACAATACGTGTTCAACTTGTACGCAACGTCGCGTCGTACGCAAATATTCAGATCCGCCGATAACAAAATGGTAACCATCGGACGGTGATCGTTGAAGTCGAAACAGTATCGTATGCGAGTGCCAAGTTTATTCTCTTAGTTCCGTCGTTGTTTCCTCTAATCGAAAGTCAAGTCACTCGAACGTCTCGCGAGAACGCCGTTCGCCGTCGAGCAGCTCGAAGACCCGTCTCCCGTGGCAGCTCCAACGAAAAACGTGTTCAGGTCTTCGCGACGAAATTCAATTTCCCGCGGCGATCGCGGTCACGCCCGCCGAGGAATCCCCTTTTTCGCGTGAGCGAGGGAAAACAGTGGCGTGCCTGATCACGGTTAACCCGTCCCACCCGGCGGAAAATCCTGTTAGACGACGGTAACGCGAGACGCTCCGGATCGAGCGACGTTGATAGAAAACTCGAAGACGCTCCCTCGTCCTTTAAATTGCCCTGCGACGGTCCCAGGACGTTTTCGCGCGCCCTTCCGCGCCGGGTTACCGGGAATTTACGAGTGATGGATCCCAACCGCACCGTGACTAGGCACCGAACTGGCCGAGATCAATCGGCGCCGGCCGCGGGAAGACGTAAATCGCGCGGCGACGCAATAAATTTCGCTACGGTCCGGTATATCTGCACATCGTGTCTCCCCCGTGTCGTGCAGTTTCTGCACGGCGTATTGCGTAACTTGGTTTCTGCGCTCCGAAAGCAAAGCAAGGCAATGCGCGCGCGTGCGTGCGTGTGCTAGGTGCATTTTACGGCTAAGAACGCGATGAATTCCGACGCAAGCGAAGGATATTGCGACACGACGATTACACGGAAAATAAGATGATTGCACTGGCAGTATAGGGGTAGCGCCAGGATTCACCCTGAGCAAGGTCTTTTCTCTAAGGCCGACGCTCGCTGACAACAAAGACAAGCGAGGTCTTGCTCTAGACGGTCAGCTTAAACACGAGGACACCAATCTAGCATCTAGCACAATGTGAGTGCTCAAACATTGCCTGTATCGTGGTCTCTCTTTCTCTCTATCTTTCTCTCTCTCTTTCTCTCTTTCTCTCTGTCTTTCTTTCGCTCTGTTTTTCTCTCTGTCTCTCTCTTTTTCTTTGGCAAGCGGGAACCGAAGACTGGAAACGGGCCAGGCGTATCCCGGGGAAACTGTCGAGCTTCCCCTGGATTCGTTTCGAAAACCGGATGCTCCGGGATTAACGCACCCTTTTTCTAACTTCTATTATTTTCG